CTTGCAGTAATAATTTGGGCCTTTTAAAATGAACAAGCTCACAGAGACGCAGGGAGGAGGAAAGAACAGTATGTGCAAGGCAGTCTCCAGAACAGTGCCTGGGATAGAGCAGAGTGTGAGAGGTGGCAACGTGCTCACAGCCCTTGCTCTCGGCGCCTCCTCAGCCTCGGCGTCCACTCTGGCGGCGCTCGAGAAGCCCTTCAACCCGCCACAGCCCCTCTCTGGTCTCGCCGAGACTGGAGCTGCCTCCCTCTGCTTGCGGGGAAGCATGGAGGGATAGGCGCCGGCTGGCACCGGGGCTGCGCGCGGCGCGCTTCTAGGCCAGCGCGAGTTCCGGCGGGCGCGCACTCAGAGTGGCCGGCAGGGCAGTGAGGGGCTCACCACCCCGGTCAGCAGCTACAGAGGATGCGCCGTGTCCCCCAGCAGTGCTGGCCCACTGGCGCTGCGCTGGAGTTCTCGCCGAGCCTCAGCTGCCTCCCCGCGGGGCAGGGCTCGGGACCTGAAGCCCACCGTCCTTGAACCCCCCCACCCCTTCCCGCGGTGGGCTCCCGCGCGGCGCGAGCCTCCCCAATGAGCGCCGCCCCCTGTTCCACGGCGCTACGTCCGGTCAACCATCCAGGACCTGAGAAACTCAAGTGCACGGCGCGGGATTAGGCCGGCAGCTCTGGCCCCGACCATGCTGCGGTATCCACAAAATGAGGCCAGCTAGGTTTCTAAGTCTGGTGGGGACTTGGGGGAACTTTTATGTCTAGCTAAGGGATCGTAAACGCACCAATCAGCACTCTGCATCTAGCTCAGGGTTTGTAAATACACCAATCAGCACTCTGTCAAAAACGGACCAATCAGTTCTCTGTAAAGTGGACCAATCAACTCTCTGTAAAATGGACCAATCAGTAGGATGTGGGTGGGGCCAGATAAGGGAATAAAAGCAGGCTGCCGGAGCTACCCAGTAGTAGCATGCTCCGTCTTTTTTGTTGGTTTGTGGGTGTTTTGTTTTTTCCTTTGTGTAGTAGTAGTGTTGGTTGCTGTCTGGGTGTATGCTGACGTTAGGGGCTGTAACGTTCACCGTTCACCGTTTACAGTTTAGGTCCTAGTCTGTAGTTTCGCTCTTAAAGCTTGACTGACGCCGCGAATCCACTGGGGAGAATGAAAAACTCCAGATACGCTGTCTTTATAGACCATTAACACTTACCATGTGGGTCTGCAGCTTTGCTTCTGTCAGCGCAGACCACGAATCCACTGGGGAGAATGATAAAACTCCAGATACGCTGTTTTGCGCTAACACTCACCACGCAGGTTTGCAGCGTTGCTTCTGTCCGCGAGGCCACGAACCTACCAGCAGGAAAAAGCTCGGACGCCTGCAAACGTCTAGTATCGGAACAAATTTTGGAGAACAATCTTTTAAGAACTGCAACACGTGCTGCGGGGGTCTGCAGCTTCATTCTCTAGGTCAGCGAGATCAAAAATCTACCAATTCCTCATGCGAGAGAACCCTGGCAACAGACATAAGAGAAAACACAAAGCAGTCTATTCAGTTTAGGGCTGTTTCTGTTCTGATTAAACAACTCTTCCTCTCTCTTTATGGCATTTTATCCTACAGCGGAAGTGAAAGGGCTTTATAAATCTGCCTGACATTGGGTTGTAGTCGTTAGGCAGACAAACTTGAAACGTGGAAGAAACACTGAAGGCAGCAAGAGGAGGAATCAGGTAAAGTGGCTAGGAAGACAGGAATGCGGATTGAACTCTCCAGGTCTCCAGCCTGATATAAAACCCATACATAGTTCCTCGATCGCAGGATACCTACTTGTCTCTATTCAGGGATTATGAAAGCCGGCTGAGGATCTTAATTTAGGCAGTATTTTTGTAAGTGATATATTCATTTGGCTTGGCTTTAGACTTGGAGCCTAGCTGTAATAAGGATTTAAGGATGATGCTGAAATTAGAATTTTCAAGTTAGATACAAAGGATTTGTCGAGCAGCCATTAAGCCCACGAAATACAATGCAGCTGTTTGCGTTCATGCTTGCAGTGGAGCATTGGAAGGGGAGGATGAAGGTGGGTTTGTTGCAAAGTGAAGGGGGGGGTCCAAAATCATGGTTAGTACTGACTTGCAAAAAGGGGTGAAAAAGTTCACCTTTGCTTGCATTTTGCTTTTGCTGAAAAAATGAGAATAAGCAAACAATGGGACAGGAACCCTTGTCTCCTTCAGACTTGTGTCCTTCGTGTCCTCTCCAATTGATAATCCACTTACCAGTTAAGATTCCAAAGAGAAGCATCACCTGGATGCAGGAGGTGGGGGTAATTTCCCTCACCTCATCTTGAGATAGTCCACGTGGGAAGTTATCTAGAGTGCCTGGATTCTAGAGTGGAGATGGGTTCCAGAGGGGGCCTTGATGCCTGGTGTCTCAATGGGACGTGAAATTGCAGGAAGAATTAAAAACTCGCCAGGAGCAGGGTTCTGGGATGAGTAAGATGAGTTGGGGTAGGATCCAAGACAGTGAGGACTGGGAACGCTGGATTCCTGGTTTCTGAGGGTTGCTCCCACAATGTCTGGCTCAGTTTCTTTTCTCACTTGACCATAGCTGTGGCATTTATAGTTGCCACCAGGCAGGGGAAGTCACAACTTCTGGACCCTCCCTCTCCAGGGAGGGGCATCTTAAGGCCCTTACAACATGAGGAAAGAAGCAGGGAGCGGGAGAGAACAAGGGGATCAAATCTGTGAGAGGAGACGAGACCCACCCTCCCAGCCACAGGTCAGCAGAAACCGGTTTTCTCTGGGGATGTCTCATTTCTGGGACAGAGGCCTTTGTAGAAGGCAGAGGGGAGAAAAATGGAGGTTGCTGTGTCCCAAATCATTGGATCTTCTTATTGTGCCAGCACCTCTCCAGGGACAACTGGGCACTGTGAGGGGAGGTTGCAGAGCCTGTGACTATCAGGCGAGTTAATGTGTGTCAGGGGACAGAGGCTGGCAGAAAAAAACCCTGCCGTGGGATACTGGCGGTGAGGCCAGAAGAAGACTGTGGACGTTCAAGGGACTGGAAAGGGAGGCCTGGACTCTGGAAGAAGAGGTTGGACACACTCTCGCAAATCTAAATTATATTCTGTTGCTTAGGTGGTCCGTATAACATCCCACCCATCTAGATTGGGGCTGCCTCGGTGTGAGAACCTGGCTCCACTGAGGAACAAAGTGAATGGAGAAAATAAAGTAAGTCTGTTCCATAGGAGCCGTGTGGGTTTGAACGGGGCTCTTCTCTGAGCCTCGGTTTTCTCATCTGTGAAACAGGCCTCCTAACTTGCAGGGTGATGGGAGGTTCACAGGTGCGATGTAAGTGAAAGCACATCACAAACGTGTGTCAGTTTTATGGCCAATGTCTCAGGGGTAGGAGCGACGCCCAGGCCTGTCAGTGCGGCCCCCCCCGCCCCGCCCCGCCCCGCCCCGGGAACTGAGCTGGGAGGAGGGGATGCGGCGCTGTCGGGCTGGGGAAGAATGAGGGAGGACCGCAGTCTGGGGAACCGGAGTCACCTCTCCAACTCCGCCGGGACAGAAGCTTCCGGCGCCCCGGCCGCCGCCTGCCCTCGGGGCACTCGCTTCCCCGAGGTGTCCTCCCCGGGGGCTGAGGGAGCGCATTCTCTCCTGTCCTACTCATTAAGTAATTATCCCTAATGAGGGCCCAGTCCTGGAGCTTGTTAAAGGATTTCCGCCTGGATTTCAAAGTGATAATTAGCGGGGAACGGAGAGGGGAGAGAAGTGGGAAGGAGACACCCGCGGCGCCCCAAGGCCCACAGTCCGCGTTTGCCGGGCGAAGAACCTCCCCATCCCCGTTTAACCCCTAGTGCTGTATTTTGGTGTCTTGATAGGGGAGGGGTCTGTCCGGTTGGATGTTTAGGATTCTAGGGACAGAGATGTTTTTATTTCGTTTTGTTTTTGAATTGGGGTCCAGGCTGAGTTTAGGGGTATCTGCATCCCTCCCAGGGCAGAGAGAGACTCTTGTCCTGGCAGATACCACAGGCTGAGTCACCACCTGCTCAGACAACTAAAATCCAGGCGTCTTCCTCCTTTTCTCGAGGGCTCTCCAGCCCCTTCCGGAACCCAGGTGTCCCTCTACCTCCTTTCTCCAGGGGCCTAAATTTGGGTCCCTCTGGCACCTGGCATGCCTGCTGAGAGTCAAGCTTCAATCTTGCCCTTAGCAGAGTGGGTTTCTGGTCGGAGATTCAGTAATAAGGGCCTTCCCAGCCCAGCCAGGGCCAGATAGTTCAATGACATCAGTGTCAGGGTTGGGATTACTGACCATGATAGGTTTCCAGCTTTCAGCAAATGGGGATGCCCAAAGGAACAGATAGTGAGTGACCTGTGGCCCCGCTGTTTGATTCTGGATGGAGTTACGTTTAGGAGCCTGGCAGCAAAGTGGGGCATCTTTTCTGTTAGTGACGATGCCATCTTCCTCTGGTAAGAGAGCCAAGGCTGCATGGGTGATGGGAAGTTTCTGTTGGGAATGACATGGGCACAGAATGGTTTTGGAGGAGGGCTGGTGTCCTAACATAAATAGGGGGCATAGCAGATACTCACGGAGTTGGGCTTAATGAATTAGGGTGTTGTTTATTCTGTATAGCACCTACCTTGTGACAACTCTTGTTAAATTATTTAATTTTAATTTTCCTATCTTTGTGTCTCAGGTGAGAACTATGTCTTATACTTCTTTATATCTTCAACAGAGTATATAATAGGTGCTTTAAAATACTTGCTTTTTAATTGACAGGTTTTTCTACTCATTTTGCCACCATGCGAATAAACCCGGCCTGCACTGAGGCTGGCTCTTATCTAAACCCAGAAAGGAGGCATTTTTGGAGCAATAGAAATTCAGCCTCCCCTTTCTTGACCCTCCATAGATTGCCAGTCCTGCCCTCCATCTCCTCTGGCTCCTTCTCTTCTGTAAGGTCTCAGCCGGAGCCAGGAACACCAGTCAGAACTTTCTCCTAATGGATAGTCTAATAACTATGATGCCCTTTATAAACATGTTATACTTTATTATAAAAAAGGTCAGTAGAAGGAAACTATTATCATCATTCTTCTTTTCCCCTCTGCCCAATCAGTAGTAAGGTGAAATGGCCATAAGAAGAGAGAGAGAAAATGTAGAAAACACATAGATGAAATGACTACAAGGAGGAAAATTGGAATCTGGGGTGAAGGTGGGAGGGGGAGAGTATGGGGATGGTAGAGAAGATGGGTAACTTTTACGACATAAAGCTACAGCTGACTTTTGGTGGAAGAGACAGGAAGATAAATGCTGAGACACCATCAGGGAAAGTCTGGGATGGAGATCAGTGGGTGAGACTGCTGGCCAAACAAAAATCCCCTCCTTGTGTGTCCACCCACAACCCAGCAAGCCAAACCAACAGGGTGTCCGCTGTAGACGTTTAGGAAGACTAAGGGATTTGGGAGGAAGAGGGGTCAACCATGTGGATGAGAGAGATTTGTGATTTCTTCTGAAGTTTTTTTTCTCCAGGGCATGGAGAGAGTGGAGAAGGAAATAAATTCTTTTTCCTTCTTGAATCTGTTTTTGTTTGTTTGTTTGTTTTTTTGTTTGTTTTTTAAATTAAGAAAATGGGGCGGAAGCAAGGGTCCTGAGAACTCAGAGATGAGCCCGTTTACACACAAACTCTTAAGTAATAGTGAATGGAAATAACAATGCTGTCCTGAAACCCAGAGACTCTGCCCTCAGTCTCTCCCTTTCCCCATAATCCCCACTCACAAGTCAGTCTGGGGCATTGCCTTCTAAGGCTCCTGTCCTTTCTTTAGGACTCAGTGCAGTTCTGCATTGGTCCCCCAACATGTCCATCAAACACCTTTTCGTTCTCAGACCATCACATTCTACAGAGAATGTCTGCTCGTATTATTCATTCTTTGTTCTTTGACCCCTAAACTTACACCCTCCTTGCTTATCACTTCATTCCCCAACCAGTTTCAATGAAGAACAGAGGAAGGGTTAATACTGGTAACTGTCAGTATTCTCTGCCCTTCCTGTAGTCCAGGAAATAGAAATTGTGAGTCCAGTTCCTCATCCAGGAAAGGGGCAGAGCATGGAAGAGCCAGGGCTGGGCTCCTATTCCAAGATCACCGTGGGGAAGGGATCTGGCCCATGCCAAGATTCTGCTGCTCCATCAGGTAGACTGGGTAGGAATTGGGGCCACCCTCATCCTCTGGGTCATTGTCCTGGGTGTTCTGGGTTAGTGTTCGGCGTGTCCGCATCATATAGGAGACCTGTGATTGGGATGAGAAAGGAGGAATGAGAACCATCTGCGATTTGTTTTTCTCAACACTCACCTCAGGTCTTCATTCTGTTTTCAAGATTCCATCCAAACCTTGATGTTTATTCCAGCTCTAGATCCAATACAATAAGTCCCAGTTCCCTCCTCTACCATATGCTCCTTGTCCTTATACCTCCTATTCTCATACCCCAGACTCTCCATCCCCGACACTTTCTCTTTCATGCCCTTTCATTCTCAGCCACAGCCTTCTCTCCAGTTCCAGCTTTTTACCTCCTGTGTATTTATTGTCTTTCTCCTCAGTTTTCACCAAAACTCTTCCTCTATTACTGTTCCTCCCACTTCTGCCATGTCTCTTTTCCTAGACTCATTATTCCCTGTAACTCTGACCCTTAATGTGTCCCCAATTCCCTATCCCATAGGTTGATTTCCATGAGGCACATCTGTCCCTTACCAAGAAGACCAGGCCAAGGAACACCAGGAGGAGAATCACAGCCACCAGGACCACAACAACTATGGCCCATGCAGGGAATGAATCATTCTCTCCCATCTGTCCAGCGTGGATACCTTTCTGTGAGTCATCTTTATTGAGGTATGGATGGCTCACATTGCCTGGGGCCTCTAATGTGATAGAACTCAACTTCATTCTACGTGTAATGAGGGTGAAAGAACCAGTGGGCACCTGATGAGTAACCTCAGTTTTATTTAGATGAGAAGAGGTAGTAGTGAGAGATTTGTCTCCTGCGACCTTGACTGAAGGTTTTATAGTCTTTGTGACTGCTGCTGTTTTTTCTGGGTTTTCTGTGGACTTTACTGGGGCTTTTATGGTCTCAGTGGTCAGTGTGGTGTTCCTCAGGTTTTCTGTAGGCTTTTTTGGGACTGATGTGTTTTTCTCTTTGGTGGATCTGGTCTTCTCTGAGTGTAGTGTAGGCTTTTCTGAGGCTCTTGTGGTTTTCTCTGTGGCTGACATGGTCTTTTCTGGGTGTTCTGTAGACTTTTTTGTGACTTGTGTCATCTTCTCATGGGCCAATGTGGTCCTTTCTCCATGTTCTATAGGCTCTGCTGGGGCTGGTGTGATCACATTGGCTGATGTAGTCTGTTCTCTATGTTCTGTAGACTCTGCTGCAGATGAGGTGATCTTGTCATTGGGTGATGTGGTCCTTTCTCCATGTTCTGTAGGCTCTGCTGGGGCTGGTGTGATCACATTGGCTGATGTAGTCTGTTCTCTATGTTCTGTAGACTCTGCTGCAGATGAGATGATCTTGTCATTGGGTGATGTGTCATTGGGTGATGTGGTCCTTTCTCCATGTTCTGTAGGCTCTGCTACAGATGGTGTGATCTTCTCATTGGCCAACGTAGTTTTTGCTCCATGTTCTGTAGGCCCTTCTGGGGATACTGTGATCTTCTCATTGGCCAATGTAGTCTTCTCTCCATATTCTGTAGGCTCTACTGGGGATGGTGTGGTGTTCTCAATGGCCGATGGGGTCATTTCTTCATGTTCTGTAGGCTCTGCTGGAGATGGTATGGTCTTCTCATTGGCTGATGGTGTCCTTTCTCCATGTTCTGTAGGCTTTGCTGGGGATAGTGTGGTGTTCTCATTGGCAAATGGGGTCATTTCTTCATGTTCTGTAGGCTCTGCTGGGGATGGTGTGGTGTTCTCATTGGCTGTCCTTCCTCTATTTTCTGTAGGCTCTTCTGGGAATGGTGTGATCTTCTCATTGGCTGTCCTTTCTCTATTTTCTGTAGGCCCTGCTGGGGATGTTTCTGTGTTCTCATTGACCAGTGGGGTCCTTTCTCCATGTTCTGTAGGCTTTGCTGAGGATGATGTGGTCTTCTCATTGGCAAATGGGGTCCTTTGTCCATTTTCTGTAGGCTCTGCTGGGGATGGTGTGGTTTTCTCGTTGGCTGTCCTTTCTCCATGTTCTGTAGGCTCTGCTGGGGATGGTGTGGTGTTCCCATTGGCTGTCCTTTCTCCATGTTCTGTAGGCTTTGCTAGAGATTGTGTCTCATTGGCTGATATGGTCTCGTGTATGTTTTTTGTAGTTTTTGTCAGGAGCTTATCTGAGGCAACTGTTGTTCTGTAATCTTCAGTTTTTTCTGACTCTTCTGGGGTTCCTGTAGTCTTGTATGTTGTTTTTGAGGCTGCTGTGATTTTTTCTGAAAAAGATGTGTTTTTTTGCTTGGTCTGTGAATTGCCTGAGTTGTGAAAGGAAGTTGTAGTCTTATGTGAGGTGGTACTTTTATTATCCAAAGTACTCATGGACTTTTCCGAAGATCTTCCAGTTTCATCTGGTTTTCTTGTTGCTGTTGATTTGCCTGTTGTGGACTTATGACAATTTATTTTGCTCTTGGGTGCTGGCGTTATATGTTTTTTTTCAGAGGATTCTTTATGTGCGGTAGTGGAGTAAGCAGGATCAACAGAGTGCTGATTCTGGATCATTGGGTCTTTCCCTTGATTGCTGGAGTTTTCTTCAGAAGAGGGAGGAGCCTCATGATTATCTGTAGAGCTTTTGTGGTCTGCAGTTTTGGAGTTGTCTATAGGCTTGTCAGTTGGCTTAGAAGGGCGTGTGGTGGTGCAGTGGCGTTTTCGCTCATGGATTTCTGTAGATTTAGGGAGCTCTGGAGGTCTTTGTCCTAAATGAACAGTGTGATCCAAAGGGATACTATAAACAAGGCCTGGAGTGAGGGGAAATATGTGATCAGATGTTGAGAGTTCCCCAGTTTTCTGATATTCTTGGAATGCAGCAGCACCTGTGGAGGGAGAGAGGCAAATAAGAAACTTCCCCATAATCTTCTCCAACTCCCGCTTCCCACCTCCTTCTCTAGGGGATCTCTTTGCTCCCCACAGTATGACTCCCCAGTCAGTCTCCTTTGAATACTATGATATCTATTCCCCATTCTCACCTCCAGCCCCTGGGCTCAACCTGTGCCTTCAGCAAGCCTGCCACCTCATCCCCTTCCACATCTCCTCAACTCTCCATCTCAAGGCCTTCTGGCTTTAGGGCATCTTTTCTGATCTGCCTAAACAGATTAAATCCAGCTTCATTTCAGTGCTTGAAAAGGTCTTTATTCATCATTCTGTCCTGTTACCTTCAACTTCACGTTACAGTTGTTTGTGTGCCTGCCGACCTCCACTCCCTGTCACGCCTATCCAATGATAAGGTTTTGAGGGCATGTATGGACTAGCATTTTACTGTGCAGGTGCCCCTTTAGGGTCTGTAACTTATGGAATGGAGTCTCCTTTCCATGGCATAGCTGAGAAGACCAGGAATAAACATTAGACTCTCCACCTTTCCATAACATTCTAACACCATCCCAAATGTAACAGTGTGAGAAATTGAGGTAAGACCTCTGGCAGAACTTCCCATAGGGATTAGCAGGTAGACACAGGTTGTGAGTGAGAGATGCATAAGAAGAATGGAGGATGAGTAGAGGAAGGGGATGGGAAGTTTTCATTTCGGAGATAAAGTTGGATGAGATGACCCAACCCTTATGGTTACCCCACTGGGTCCCCCTCTTCACACATTTAAAGCCAACTGGGGATAGATGAAGGGGGCCATCTTGAAAGGAAAAGAGATCTGCTTGGGGGTCCTGACAGGAGTAAACGAGGCAACTAGCTTGTGGGAGGGACTGACTATGTTTAAGGACAGGGTGTGAGAGAAAACGCCCCTATCAGTGGACAGATGCACGCCTTAATTCCATAGAAAAACAACCTGATGGAGACAGAGGAGATGTCTCTGATACCTAGCCAAAAGAGTGAAGGCCAAGAGATCACCAAAGAGTGAAAGAGATAGTGTCGTTACATAACTGAGGTTTCCAGTCCCTGTTAGCTTAAGGCGGCAACCAGAACCTGGACCTATTCCCAATCACAAGAAACCACAGTCCACCTGCCTGCTGATGGGCAGAATCGGCCTGGGGAGCTCAGTCCTTGAAAGAAATATGGGCGGGACAAGAAGGGTGTGAGGTTAATAGAGAAGCCCAAGTCTCTGAAAGGAATTGAGAGTGAGGGGAGAGAAGGGGGCTGAATGATCAGGCCTGCACTCTGCTCTCCCAATCCCATTACATGATCTCCTTGGCAGCAATACCAGTAATAGCTGTTGTTTATTGGACACCTTCCCCAGCCCTGGGACGTGGCCTGTGGCCTCACAGACATTTCTCTTTCTGGATTCTCTTCTATGGTGATTGGTCTCCCAGTGCTCCACAAGGCTCTTTAGAAGCGGTCAAGTTCCCCTATTTTACATCTGAGAAATTTACATTTCATGGAGGAAAAGTGACCTGGACATAGTCCCACAGCAATAGCAACGGGCAACCTTTCTGGAGCTCTACAATGAGAGAGGCAGGTTCTACAAGTGAGGGCATAGGTTAACTTATCTACTTTTCACAAGAACCTGTTGAGGTTGAGAACTATTTCCTATTCTCCCAGTTATATAGATGAAGAAACAAGGTTCTGAGTGGTTAAGTAATCTTCTCAAGGACACCCAGGAAGTAAGAGGTCGAGACAGAATCCGAACATGCATCTGGGCTCCTGGGCCCAGTTCATTGCTGGGTCGACCACAGTGCATAGCCAATAGGTCAGCCCAGTCTTTTAAAGAAGGAAGGACACTGACATGTGTGGACTCCCTGAAAGGTGCTGTTCATATATTTGTTTATTTAATCAAATAATTATGAACCTGTGAAGTGAGGATGGTGATCTTACTGTTTTACAGGTGGAGAAAGGAGATGCAAAGAGGTTAAGTAACTGGCAAAATTAGACTTTTCACTGTGCCCCAGGGATTTTAAACATGATAAGGGATGAATGACTATCTATCCAGTGAATAAATGAGCTGGCAGCAATGCAAAGGGCAATTTCCACTGACCTTAAAGAATCAGAGGACAGGTTTGGCATCCAGGCTCAGTCCCTCAACAGTTTTGCATTCTTGTTCAGGTCACTTAAGTGCTCTGAAGCTCCATGTTCTCAACTGTAAATAACCATGATGCTGACTGCACCAGCTAAATGTGAGGGTTAAAGGAAGTATGGACCATGGCAGACTCTGGAGCACAGAAGCTGTTTAAATGTCTGTTGAATCCACATTGTAGTCTCTGAAATAATCTCATGCCTTGCCCTGTCCTTTCTGGTTGTAAGGGGAGCCTGAGCAGTAGCCCTACCCTCCTGCCTGCCCCATCCACCTCTCACCTGCTGTGGCCACCCTCTTGAAAACAGCGGTCTCTGCATTCCTGGGCCACTTTCTGATCATCACTTTCTGATATGTGATAAATACAATTAAATTTCCACTATGGCAAGGGTTTTGTTTTTGTTTGTTTTTTTTTGTTTTTTGAGACGGAGTCTCACTCTGTCGCCAAGGCTGGAGTGCAGTGGTGTGATCTGGGTTCATTTCAACCTCCACCTCCCAGGTTCAAGTGATTTTCCTGCTTCAGCCTCCTGAGTAACTGGGACTACAGGCACGTGCCACCACGCCCAGCTAATTTTTTGTATTTTTAGTAGAGATGAGGTTTCACTGTGTTAGCTAGGATGGTCTCGATCTCCTGACCTCATGATCTGCCTGCCTCAGCCTCCCAAAGTGCTAGGATTACAGGCATGAGCCATCGCGTCTGGCCAGGATTATTGTTGTTGTTGTTGTTGTTGTTGTTGTTGTTTTTGAGACAGAGTCTTACTCTGCACCAGGCTGGAGTGCAGTGGCATGGTCACAGCTCACTGCAGCCCTGACCCCCTGGGCTTAAGCAATCCCCCCGCCTCAGCCCCCTGTCAGCTGGAACTACAAATGTGAGCCACTATGCCCCTCTCCCCCTTTTTTTTTAAGACACAGGGTCTCACTATGTTGGCCAGGCTGGTCTCAAACTATGGTCCTCAGTGATCCTCTTATCTCAGCCTCCTAAAGTATTAGGATTATAGGCATGAGCCACTGCGCCTGGCCTGGCCTGCCCTGGCAGGGATTTTTATTTGTTTTGTTTGTCACTGTCTCCAGCCTAGAACAGTATCTGGTCCATAGGAGGCACTTTGTAAATATTTGTCGAATAATGAATGAAAGAACAAGACTGATGAAAATTCCTTAGAAGCCTTGCCAATAACGTTTCATAATGCACATTAAGTAGAAACCAAATGTATTTGTGACCTCCGCAGGCTGGAACACCAAGGGGCAACTTCCGCTGTTAAGTAATTGAGCTCTGAGATGAAAAGATGTTGAAAGAAGGCCTCTGGCCCACCAATTCTGGGATACCAGTTCTCATTAAACCACAGGATTACAGTCCATAACTAGACTCAGGTAACAAGATTTTAGAATTTTAGATCTGCATCAAACAGTTGTGGAACCATAGATTGTAAAAAGCTGAGGTAAAGCTCAAGGGATTCCTTGGTCCTGACACAGCCAAGAGGCAAATCAGTGTAAACCCCCAGGACAAAAGAAGCATCTCTTCCCAGACGATCTACTTTTGGTAGTGACTTACTTCCCTAGGAAGTTTTCACCAGGAGATATTCATTCCACATACAACCATCATAGCCTGAAAAGAACTCTTTTGGTCATTGAAGAATAGGCAGGAGGTGCAGAAGAGAAAATCCAACTTTAGCACAAGACATTGTGGATGGATATTCAGTTGGGATAAAAGAATAAGAACAAATCCCACAACATCAAAACAATGCACAGTGCCAAAGGTCCCCGCCATCTGCTTCGTTCACTCATTTGAAAGGGAGGACATCAGCTGGGCACAATGGCTCGCACCTGTAATCCCAGCACTTGGGGAGGCCAATGTGGGCAGATCACCTGAGGTCAGGAGTTCGAGACCAGCCTGGCCAACATGGCAAAACCCCATCTCTACTAAAAATATGAAAACTAGCCGGGCATGGTGGCAGCAGCCTGTAATCCCAGCTACTCAGGAGACTGAGGCAGGAGAATCAGTTGAACCTGGGAGGCGGAGGTTGCAGTGAGCCAAGATCATGCCACTGCACTCCAATGTGGGCCACAGAGTGAGAGTCTGTCAAAAGAAGAAAGAAAGGGAAGGAAGGAAGGAAGGAAGGAAGGAAGGAAGGAAGGAAGGAAGGAAGGAAGGAAGGAAGGAAAGGAGGAAAGAAGAAAAAAGAAAGAAAAGAAGGAAGGAAGGGAGGGAGGAAGGGAGGGAGGAAGGGAGGAAAGAAGAAAAAGAGAGAAAGAAAGAAAGGAAAAGAAAGAGAAAAAGAATGAAAGAAAGGAAGGAAGGAAGGAAGGAGAGAGAGGGAGGGAAAGAGAAAAAGGGAAGGAAGGAAAGGAAGGGAGGGGAGGGAGGGAGGAAGAGAGAACATCTTACTAAGCAACTCATGCCTTGGAGTCTCTGTCAGAGCACGTTCTCCCAAAAGAGCATCTCTAGTGTTTCCTGGTATCCTTACCCCCATAAATGGCATGCTCCATTTGCAATAATGTGGGTAAATGCTTGTTAAAATACCTATACAGTATTAGTTCAATAAGTGGCTTAAAACACAGACATAGAAAAAGAAAACTGGTGGGCACAGTTGCTCACACCTATAATCCCAGCACTTAGGGAGGCTGAGGCGGGAGGACCAGTCTGGGCAACATAGCGAGACCTAAAAAAAAAAAAAAAAAAAAAAGGAAAGCTAAAGGGAGATATAATCAAATGATTGCCTGGGGACTAGGGAGTATACAGAGAGATTTTATTTTTTTTCTGATTTTTTCTATTTTCCATTTTCTACAATGAGCATACATTATTTGTGTTACAGAAATTAAATCAAATAGCATTTGTTATAGGAAAATGTTCTTGTTAGATTCTTCCAAGGACCCCAGTCCCAATTCCCATCTCCTGACTCACCTGTGCTCCCTCAGGTGTGTTCATCTGGACTGTGCCTGTGCCTCCCTCTGATGATTTAATCTAGACTGCACCTGTGCCTCCCTCGGATGATTTAATCTAGACTGCACCTGTGTTCCCTCTGATGATTTAATCTAGACTGCTCCTGTGCTCCCTCTGATGATTTAATCTAGACTGCACCTGTGTTCCCTCGGGTGATTTAATCTAGACTGCACCTGTGTTCCCTCGGATGATTTAATCTAGACTGCTCCTGTGCTCCCTCTGATGATTTAATCTAGACTGCATCTGTGCCTCCCTCTGATTATTTAATCTAGTGCCTCCTCTGATGATTAATCTAGACTGCATCTGTGCCTCCTCTGATTATTTAATCTAGACTGCACCTGTGCCTCTCTGATGATTTAATCTTAGACTGTACCTGTGCTCCTCGGATGATTTGATCTAGACTGCACCTGTGCTCCTCGGATGATTTAATCTAGACTGCATCTGTGCCTCCCTCTGATTATTTAATCTAGACTGCACCTGTGCCTCCCTCTGATGATTTAATCTAGACTGTACCTGTGCTCCCTCGGATGATTTGATCTAGACTGCACCTGTGCTCCCTCGGATGATTTAATCTAGACTGCACCTGTGCCTCCCTCTGATTATTTAATCTAGACTGCACCTGTGCCTCCCTCTGATGATTTAATCTAGACTGCACCTGTGCTCCCTCGGATGATTTGATCTAGACTGTACCCGTGGTTCTGTGACTGCATGATGCAGACTCTGGGGTTCCAGGATCTAGTTATCTGTCTGCGTGTTGACTGGTCCTGTGGACAAATGTCAGGGCCCTCTCACCAGAATGGTAGACTAAAGGGCTTCATCCCTCCCAGTTGTCCCTCTTCCTGTCCTGCCCAGGCCTTTCTCTCTGCTGGGCACAGCCGTGGACTAGCCCTGATTCACACTCCAGTTCCACCCGACCTCATCACAACCCAAGCCCAGCCTCAAGCCATCCCCACCTGTCACCTACTCGCTCTTGTCTTCAAAATCTGCAGAATGGGAGCAGCCAGCTCCCGTCGTCCTCCCCACCCCTCCCTCCATCCCGCCCTGCCACGCCTATCTCCTCTCCGAGACCACGCCCACATGGCCCCATCGGAATCTCAGGAATTCAGATCTCTGCCCTGAAGCAAATCTCAGAGCTACTGTGTATGGAGTGGATTCCCTTTCGCCCCCTGCAGGTTCCTCTTCCTTAAGCTGCAAGATGGAAGGAGGAGAGAGCAGCCGGCGGACAATCCGCCTGAGGGGAAGCGGAAGGAAAGGCAGGCGAGATGGGGCCAGGAGGTGTTGGGCAGCTCTGGTGCCTCTGTCTCCAGACCCTCAAGGTAGGGGAGACAGACATCAAGTCGGGGCACAGACAGGACGCACTGCTGATATCTTTCAGAGGCAGCTCAAAGATTCCTCAGTTCCCACCATTCACCACCCACCTGCCCCTGCCTCTACCCCTGGCCGCAACCTGCCTGCGCTCAGGGAAGGGGCACTGCCTCTAACATCACCCTCTGTCTGCACTACTGGAAGGAGAAGGTGCTGCCTGCCTGCCCTGCCCCCAGTACTGCTTGGAGGAGACTTCCAGACTCACGACTGTCCCAGCCCTGGTTTCAGATCATCAACGCCGTTACTGTGGATGGCTCTGTCCTTAGATGACTGTCCAGTGGGTAGACAGTGTCTCTGAATCTGCTGCTGTACATCTGCCTTGTGGAGACCCTCCTCCAAATTGCCCAGGCCCTCCACACCGCCCCTGTGTTTAGCATCTCTGCTCCCTGAGTTCAGTTGCAGTCCGTTTCTTGACTAAGTGAACTAATTTCATAGGGTTTGTTTTGTTCGTCAAACTTGTCCATACTCATTTTCTCTCAAAGCCCTGAGATGTTTTCCAACTGTAAGACAAGGACAGAGCCTTTGATGCACACTTTTCTGAGTTGCCATGTGGATTAAATGAGTAAACGTGGATGAAGTCCCTAGAGCAACACCTGGTGCCGTGTAAATGCTGTGTAGGCAACAAATATTGGTACGGCCGGGCAGCAGCATCCAGCCCATTTTACAGATGGTGTGGAAGGCCAGAGTAGCCAAATGGGTCAGAGTCAGGACTGGAAACTAGGTCTGCACAAAACAGAGCTCTCAAGAGAGAAGTTCCACCTGTCCCCCAGGGCTGGGGGCAGTGGAGGTGGAATCCCTGCTTACCTCCCTCTAGCTGTGAGATATGGGGCATAATCACGCTGAGTCCACTCTCCTCAACTATAAGATGGGATATTATTAGCCACCTCAGGTGATGCTGAGATGAGATGAGTCTCTGGGTGCGGTGGCTTACGCTTGTAATACTAGTACTTTGGGAGGTCGAGGCAGGCAAATCACTTGAGGCCAAGCATTTGAGACCAGCCTGGCCAACATGATGAAATCCTGTCTACTAAAAATACAAAAAATTAGCCAGGCATGGTGGCAGGCGCCTGTAATCCCAGTTACCCAGGAGGCTGAGGCAGGAGAATCGCTTGAACCCGGGAGGCGGAGGCTGCAGTGAGCCAAGATTGCGCCACTGCACTCCAGCCTAGGCGACAGAGCGAGACTCCATCTCAAAAAAAGAAAAAAAAAAAAAGAAGAAGAAGAAGAAAGAAATCACCATGAGCAGCTGTGAATTCCATGCACGGAGCTGGAGTTGGTGTTCAACAAATGTCAGGTGCCTACCCCCACCACACAGGGCTGCCACCCTCTACAGTGTCTTTATGCAAACTTGAAACCCCCTCTGGATGGGTGCAGCCCTGTGAGCCATGTTTTAAAGAGCAGAGCACAGGCTGGATTTCATCTCCTACTACATGTCCCTTAGCCAGCAAACTTGAGCAGAAAACACTCTAGACAACTGTCTGTAGCAGCCCTGTGCCCGCTCCCTTCATTCCTTTCTATTTGTTGTCCAACTCTATGAGCACTAAGAAACAAGCCGTTTCTATCTTCTGTACCCGCTGTGGGCATCTTACCTGCCTCCCAAGAAGCTAGAAGGAAGAGGAGGCAGCACTGGAGGCCAAAGGTGGAGCAGAGGCTGTGGACCGTCTGGGCCATGTCGGAGCTGGGTGGCTGCTTGGGGACCATGGGCTACGGACCCCTCACCTTATATGGAGCCAATCTTGACGTCATGGGGGCTGGGGCTCCTCAGGACTAAGTCTTAAACAAATGGAGCCACCCCAACCCACAGGGGAGCCCTGATAAGAGGAGACCGCAGCTGCTGCGTCATGGAGCCAGGCACGTGGGTGCCTGCTGAGGGGTGGGATCTGGGGGCAGGGCAGAGGAACCAGAAAGGAGCAGGCACCTGAGCCAGCCCCAGTGGAGAGAAGTGAGGGTGGTGCCTCCAGGGCTCTGGGGAATTGGGGAGCAGATGGCCCGGTTCTAGAAGGACTGAACTCTGGCTGGGAGCAGGATGGGGTGGGGTTCACATTCTGATCTGTGTCCAGCTTCACATGCACCCTCCTACCTCTCCCGCGTCAGCCCAGCTTCCACACCCCTTATTCACACATGGTCATTCTTGCCACTTTGGGCGGAGCTGTCCACGAGGATCAGGTGAAAGAGCAAAGGCGAGAGAAAGCCCTCGAATGACCCTCGCTGCAGAGACAGGTGCTTCGCGATGTTCAGTGGTCATACAACAATGTGTGGAGAGTGCAGACGGAGTGACAGAGACAAGACACAGAACCACAGGGACAGATGTCACACCCCTCACCAGGGACACAGGTCAGGCCACCCAGAGGGACCGAGGCCAAGATCTTTGGCCAAGAGATGCTGTACATACAGGGGCTTCTGCTTTCACTCTACCTCTTCCCTCCCACCTCAGCTCAGGGGCTGTCTCTTTGCCTCAAAGTCCCCATTCACTCCTATACAGAAATGCAGACATCTCATTTTTAGGAGCACCCCGGAGCTCCCCCTTTCCTTCCTCAGTTCCTGCCTAACGCAAGCATTAGCTCAGAGACTCACTTGTCTCCCCAGTGACAGTGCCTGGGGCTGGAGTAGGGGAGGACAGACTCCCTGGGTCTCTAGCACAGATAAGTCACAACCCCTTTCTGCCCACTGTGGGTCTCCATGGATGGAAAGTAGGCACCTTGGATCCCTGCTGTGTCGTCAGAGCCTGGGACAGTGTCTGGCACACAGTAGGCAATCAATAAATGTTTCCACTCCACCTGGACAGAGTGGAAGCCAGGGCCAGAGGATGCCTTTCTGAGGGAAGTGGGGGCAGGCAAAGGCCGTAGAGAAGTCCAGGACTTGAGGGCAGGAGGCCAGGCCCTCAGGGCATTTGGGCTCATGAGAGGACTAGAGAACTGGACACGTGGGTTTCTCTCCTTACTTGGCGTGACTTATCCCTAAGCCCTGGGCAGGGCTGGAATAGGTGGGAAGAGGAGGCCAACTGCTTATCAATGTGATTCATGGGAGATTAATGAGGCTCCATGGAGTCAGGCCAAAGACTGACTACTCAGAACTGGGCAGCCTGCCTCCCAGGCAATGTATCCTGCAGGATGGAGAAACTAAGGCAGAGACAGGCTGTCCTCTGCAACTCCATGTGGACTCGGCTGACTGACAGTCCCCCTTTTCACTGGTCCCCTTCCCCATCCTTTCCCCAGGGACCCAAGCCTCTAGGACAGTGGTTCTGTACAGGGAGGAGCAATTTTGCCCACACCAAGGAACATTTGGAAATTTCTAGAGACATTTTTGTCGCAATTTGGGGTGGGATGCTACTGGCATCTAGGGGGTAGAGGCCAGAGATGCTGTGGGACATCCTGTAATGCCCGGAGCAGTCTCCACAACAAAGAATTACCCAGCCCAGGACACCAATTGTGCTGAAGTTGAGGGTCTCTGCTTTAGAATAAGCATTAACCAGGGTTTGTGAATGAACACCCCCTTCCCTTCTCTCTTAGCTACAACTCCACCCCAAGGACCCTGGTGTCTGGGGTGGAGAAACCTGGAGGTAGGTGGAGGCCCAAAACAGTCTCTTACAGTCAGTCCATGTTGCTTCGTCTGAGCTGGAGGCTGAGAGACCAGTCACAAAACAGCCCTGCCAACTACCAATGTTTGGGCATTTCTATGTACTGAAGAATGTACTAAGCACCTCACCTGTGAGTCATCACCTGTCACCCTTCACTTTACAGATGAGGATAAATGAGCTTCAGATCAGGGAATGACTTGCCCTTGTAAGTGGCAGAGACCGGGCTTGGCCCTTCTGGGCCCGCATGACACAAAAGCCCATGTACTTGGGCAAACCCACAGCGTCTGCGAGACAAGTGGAGGAAGTGCCATTTTATTTAGCAATAACTTGTTCACCACCTTCCTGGAGAGGACTGAGGGGGCACCACAGAGGACGGTTCTGCACCTGCCCTGAGGGGAAAGAATCGGAGGGCCCTGGGGGCTCAAGAGCCAGCCTGAGGGGGCTCCCTGTGGAGGAAGGTGAGAAGGGAAGCCATGAGCAGACTGTCCTCAGCTAAAGAGCTTCTCTGATCGTCAGGGAGGAGGGTGGGACTAGGAAGAGAGGGTGAGGAGCAGAGATTCCAGCTGTCCAGACCTGGGCTCCATGAGGGCTGGAAGGTGCCTGCAGGCCACTTAGCCCTGGTCCTTCCTTCCACGGATGAGAAAACTGTCCTCAGAGAAGCTGGGCACCTTCCCGCAGTCTGCATGGTTGGCAGCAGGGCAGAGAGCAGAATCTTGTGACTGACAGTGGACTCCTCCTTACGCTGTGGGTGGAAGAGACCTGGGGGCCAGTGACCCCAGGAATCTACCTGCAGAAAAAGGTTCCGGCTAGGGTGAATGGGATAGGGGAGTCTGGGAATGAGACTATTTGGGAGACGAAGAAGGAAGGCCAAAGGGTAGGCGCTCAGCTGCCCCTGCCCCACCTTGCATTTGACAGAGTAGCGCTGACTGGCGGCCTCCGCCTCATGGTGGAAGCTGTAAGGGGTCATGGAGCCACAGCCACACGGAGCCACAGCCACTCCCTCCGGAACTGGCAGGCCTGTGAGATGAGGGAAGGGTATGACGGGTCAATCAAGGGGCCTGAGAACCTGCTGCTCAGTCCAGCTCTTCCCGTGAACTGCTGCTTCTTCTTGGCAACCCAGGCACTCAGCGTTCCTCTTTGAGCAAAAACAGCAATAACAATGAATAAGGCTGTATATTGAGCACTTACTATAATACATGCCAAGCACCATTAGTGCTCGCTCTGCGTAAGCTTATTTGATCCTCCCAACCACCCTTTCAGATGGATGCCATCATTCTCATTTATCCAGGACTCAATTACCTCATCTGGAAAATGAGGAGTAGTATTTCCTATATCACTGGCTTGCTGTGAACTAAAATATGTACAGCGCCTAACACATCATCAGTGCGATGTAAGTATTATTTTTTAAGTATTATTATTAGTGAAGAATCTGGAGCACAGAGAGGTTAAGTAACTTGCACAAGGATTCAAACCCAAGTGAATGTGGCTCCACAGAGCTGGTCCTTCATTGCCTAGAGCTGAGTTGAACGCTTCCCCGCGCCAGTCAGCCTCCAGCACTCCCCCACCTCTTTCAGTGGCCCCAACGCCCCGTCCCTGCCAGAACAGTGTTTTTCTCAGCCACTGAGACAACGGCTCTCTTTCCCTCCCTGCAACAAGCCCTGCAGGCTGTCACTCCCTCCCCAAAGCCCTGTTCTTCTCTGAATCCTGGGGCACCAGGTCCCAGCCCCACTGGCACAGGGATCCCACACATGGGACCACAGCATTGCTCACCTTCTTGATACCATACATTAGGTTGACAATTGCTGCCACCAAAGTGAGAGTGATCAACACAATGGCCCAGTCTGAGACAGAGTCCTTCTGGGGTTTCAGACCTAGGGCACAAAGACAGGGCCAGTGACTGAGGCAGGTGATGCCTCCAGCCCCCCAGACCCCCACTGCTCTCTGACTTTCCATCTTTCTTTCTGTGACTGATGTCCCTGACTCTGAGACCTCATCTCTCTGGTGTTTTCTCCTATCACCTTGGAAGCAGAATCTCAGCAGGGGTGGCGGTGGGCGTTTAAAGAGCTTCAATCTAAGTCTCAATTGCCTCTTCCCTGTGGACATGTCTGTCAGTCCCAGACTCATCCCTGAGGTCCCCACCTCACTGACTTTCTCAGGCCCTATTGTCCGCATCCCTGGGTCTGTGATGCCTCTGCACTGGGAGGGTCCTCAGTAGGCACTCTCTTTTCCCCTAGCCCCAGTTGTCCCCACCACTCCACCCTGATTCTTGTTCTTAAGGGGAACCAGAGCCTGCTCTCCTGTCTTCCTTCCATTCGTTTCCTGCCCTCAGACTTCCTGTGGGGTATTCCTCAAGCTCCCCTTCTAGGAATGAAAGGGAGGGGAGGAGGAAGATGGAGGAAGGAGGGGTGATCTCTGGAGGGAATGCCTCTCGCCCTGGACAGAGAGATTAGATCATGAGGAAGAAAGATGAAAACCTTTCGAGAAAGCAGCTAGGTAACAGACATCTGGCAGTTGGTCTGACCACAGGCCGCCAAAACACCTTTGACTACAGACATCCTCAGACAGATTTAAAACACAGTTGAAAGCAGGCGCTACTGACTATCCCTGAACTCCTCCCAAGGAGCCAGGGGTGGCTGCAGGGGAATGAGATCGAATAGGCCCATCAACCTTTTACTGTAACGCCTAGAAGAGTGCCTTAACTGGCCAGGATGCTGAACCCAGGGGACGTGGTGGCCACTCCAGCCATGGTGGCAGTGGAACCCCCTAAGACAGCAACACTCAGTGCTGAAGTCCTGGGCACAGTTGGAGCAGTTCCAGGAGCACTGGAGGAGGCAGGTCCTAAGAGGGCAGAGGGAAAAAACAAGAGATTCAAGCAAGAGCAAAGCAGAAGTCACATCAAATGCACCCAAAGACAAGACCCTAGCAAGCTTTTGGAATAAATTGATGAAATGATGTTACGAAAATCAAGACTGAGAATAACCAAGACAGTCTCTTAAAAAAAAAAAAAAAAAAAAAAAGGAGAACTTACACTATAAGATCTCAAGAGTTGCTGCAAAGCTGTAGTCCTTAAGCACTGTGGCCCTGGAGTAAGAAC